ATTCAAATTTTGCGTTCAAACAGACTGTCAGATTTAGCTCTCTTTCAAACAAATAGGGTAAATAAAAATGTCCTCTTCCCCGGCACAAAACTGACCTTAACAATACTGCTTATATATTTTTCTCTTTGTTATTTAAACAAATGGGGAAAATAAAGTCTCCCTCAATCAGGGATAGCTTCTCTTAGTCATGTTTCTCTGCCTCCCTCAGATGCTGAGCCTCTCCTCTGCAGCACAAAGAATTCATCAGAGATAACATTATCTTCTCTCCCAGTACCCAGGCAGCTAAATTGCACAGCAGATAGAATAATGGACCTGGAATCAGGAAGCCGAAGTTCAAATCCTGCATGAGACACTTCCTCTTCTTCCCTTCCATTTCCCCATTCCTCCTCTCTCATGTCTCTTTTGTTTTTCATGTGTGTATACACACACACACACACATATACATTTATTTATTTATAAAGAAAATTATTTATAAATGGCAGGAACATCTGGGCAGGATGTATATGTTACATTTTTGGATATTGGTCAATGCAGAATTAATTTTGACTATGCATGTTTATTACAAGGTTTTTATAATTACATTTTTATCATTCCCAGAAAAAAGGCCAAAAACCACTTCTATGTTCTAATGTGAGTTCCTACTATTTTCCACTTCCACTCCAAACTAATTAAATTAAAAGCCTTAAATTAAGTGTGAAGCACTTTCACACTATAGTATTTCAATTTACAGTTGGACAAATGGAAACTTATTTGAGGTCTGATTTAAACTGTGAGGGAGAGGGGTCTTATTTCTTAGCTTCTGCCTATGCCTGTCCACTGACCACTTTTCCAAATGCCTTTATCAAACCACAAAGATCTGGAGGGGGGAGGGTTTGGGGGGAAGAGAGTGCCAAAAGGCAACCTTAAAATAATTTCCACTTCACCTCAAATGAATTATACCCTTGAAAGATCTTGTCCCTTTTCTTCACCCATGTATTTCAGGAAAAGACTGCTCTGCAATCTCATCATACCGTCAGCAGACTTTTAGTCATAAGAATTCAATTTGCCTGCCTTCTTCCAGAGTTAAGTAACTAAATTCCACAGTTGAGTAGATTTCAGCTGAAAACGGCAGCACAGTGCTAAAGTAAGCAATTCGTTCCCGTCTGCAAATTCTAAAGTTCCTCATTTAGGGATTAGTTTTCTGTCAGTGTTGAGTATATAAATAGCAACTTCCTCAGAAGAAGGAAAAATCAGGCAACAAAACAGTCTTTCATTATGACCTCTCAAATAGTTTCAGGGGCCAGAAGAGGTTTCTCAGCATCACAGAAGGAATTACAGACGTAATAAGGGGGCACGACAGGGGGAAGGGATTTCTTTGGGAAGGGAGCACGTACCCCTAGGCTCTTAACTCTAAACCGCAAGCCAATAATCTCACTTCCCATGACAGGCAGCACTAGATCACCAGTCTGAAGCCCTCTGGTCCCATCTCTATGGTCTACCAGCTTCGTGGCCCTGGGCTCATCTCCCAGCTTCACAGAGTTTTCTTACCTGGTGTAGTGGAACCCATAGACATGAAATCCGGGGAAACTTAGGTTCAAATCCTACTCCTGACACTTTGAGCCTATTTCTTCATTTATAAAACCAGCATAATGACTGACACCTAAAAGACCTATCTCATTGAGTTGTTTGTAGGTATCAAGTGAGATAATATGCAAAAAGCAATTCGCAACCCTGAACACACTATATAAATGGCAGTTATTTCTACTACTATGATTATTAAAAAACATACATGATAGTACCTGTTCCACGGGTTACTGTGAAAATCAAACAGATAACACTAACACCTTTTGAAAATCAAAAGATGACATGAGTCAATGAACTCTTTAATCTGGAAAGCAGGACACAAGGGCAAAGTAATAACATTATTTCCACCGTGTGGGTGTCATCCACTGACCTAGTACGACCTTCAATCCTCTTGGGGCCTACCTATCAGCATACACAATATCCAAAGGGCTGCAATGCAAATTTTCCCGAAACTCCCCTCTACGGAGTCTAAGAAATGTTGTCAGACTGCTCCGGGAAATCCCCTCCTCAACTCCCTGTAGTAGTTCCTGTAACACAGGAGACAACAGCCTGCAATCCTGGCATTTCTCCTTCCGGTATTCAAAATTACCTCAGTGTAGGATAGAACCAAGTGCAGATGTTATCTAATAAAAAAAACAAACAGCCCGAAAAATGCTTTAGGCTAATTACCCAAAGCTGATCAAGGAAGAAGACAGAAATCTAGGGTGAGAGTATAGGCCACCACAGTTCAAATCTACAGAAACTTCAAATCAAGTTACATAAACACAGGGAACAAAGGAAATTAAACACCAGGAAAATCACATACCCAAGGTCTTACTCAGAGATCTATTAGATTTAAAGGAAAGGCGAGAATTCCTAAACTATCTCATGAAAAGGAGGAAGTAGGTCTAAACAGATGCAGGAAAGGTTAGTAACCTGATGCTCCCTTGGCCCAGCAACGTGACTAAGACCTTGGAAGAGACCTTGGAGGGTCTCTATCCCTCTCCCCCCCCTTTAGCAGGAACTTCCTCCAGGAAGTTGTAGTCCCTACCCTCCCCCCACCTCCTGCCCCCACTTGAAGACCTTCAATGAAGAGGAAACAACCATTCCCTGGGGCAGTCCATGTCATTCTCGGACAGTTACTAGTTTTTCCTTTCATTGGGTGTAAATGTTCTTCTTTCAAACTTCCACCCATCCCCCCTGGCTCTGCCCTTTTCGGCCAAAGAAAATTACTCTTCCACCAAACCCTTTAATAGCCCTGCTACAGAGTAATAACTTTTCTCTTGTAGTTTTCCTTAAAACGAACAAAAAAAAAATCTTTCAAAGGGGCTTTCTTGTCCTCGAACATCCCATTTTACAGACGGGGACACTAAGGCACGAGGCCTCAGTTTATCATATTGCCATTGATTAAGAATCCAATGCCCTCAGTTTTGTGCCTTGTGTGCTTCCCAGCTCACTAGACTCGAGGTGGCGCCGTGGAAGACACGTGTCTAAATCCGATCTCAGGACAGCTGCCTGCCTCAGTTTCCTCATCTGTAAAATGAAGATAGTAACAGCCCGTGCCTCCCAGGCCTTCCTTTAGGAGGATAAAAGAAGAATTTTTTTGCAAATTGTTTTGCAGACCTCAATGCGTAATATAAACGATGGCGATTATTCTCATTGTTATTATTCGGTGGGAAAGGGGAGGTTTTGCCCCCGCTCCGCACACACCCCCCTCAGGCCCTCCCGCGCGCCCCAGCGCACCTTCTCCAGGCCCAGCTCGCCGGGAGCAGGGGCTTCTGGGGCCGGGAGACTTTGCCCTGGGCCGAGATCCACGACAGCGGCGCCAGACTGCGGGTCACGGGGTGCGCGCGAGGGGGGGGGAGAGAGGAGCGGCGATGACCCCCTCCTTTACCTTCGCCCCCCCCAAAGCTCAGAAACTTAAGAAACCGCCCCCCCCACCCCCGCCTTGGCCCTCACAAGCAGCAAGCGACGCAATCGACTAGCGACGCTGGCCCTAGTTAGCCTAACGTTGACCTCGCGGTGGCCTAGGGGCCCAGAAGCTCACCGGCAGGGCTGCGCTTTCCAAACAGGTTTTCCCGGGCCCGGTATCTCCATTACACCTGGCGCCCTCAAAGCCCCCCCCATCCCCCTCGCCAGTTTCGCCGACCCTCAGTGCGATTGGTCGGCAATGCCGCGACCGCGCACTCTCATTGGCCGGATCTCCTAGCTGTGCCGCGTGGCGAAACGAGAGGGGCAACGCGCGCCTCCTCCGGAGCAGCGCCCCGCAGCGTCCGGAGGAAGGAGGCACAAGCGAAGTGCAGTCCTGTTCCAAAAGCAGGCTTCCGAGCGCAGGAGGTCTCCCGCAGTCTCTGGATGAGCACCCGCAAGCAATGCAGACTTCTGCAGGAGCTCTCCTTGAGAGTAAGGTGAGTCCTCACTCTACCGAAAATGCTGGATTTCAATCCACAGCAAGCACTTCTGTGTAGTTTGGAGACGGGAATGTCTTTAAGATGCCACTTCTTGCTGCTCCATCCAAGGGAGCAAAAAACAACTCCCCGCCCGCCCTAGTCCCCCTGTGCTGCCACACCATAGTATCATCCTCCTCCACCCTAGAGAGGAATGCAGGTCATCTATTGGTACCGCACCTGGCACCTGTACTCCAGCTCCCTCCGCTTGTTTTGTTCTTTCGTTTACTCCTGCACCTCGCGCCTACACAGTCCCCCTTTTCTTGTTAACTTTCCAAGACTCAGTTCCACCCCATCGATAGCTGACCTCAGTTGTCTGGTGCTTTGAGAGTGAAAAGCCGGAGAAGTGAACCTAGAAGCACTGGCGGAAGAGCAGGGACCAGCTGGTTTCTGGGTCATCTTTTGGGAAGGGAGAATAAATAATCTAATAAAATACGATTACAACATGATCTCTTTTAAAGTTTTTTTTAAAGCATTATTTATTGGGGATGGGATAACTTTAAGGAAAAATAAAACATGGAAGCATACCTATTCCAGGAAAATCGAGTTGCTCTCTTGCCTGCTCACTGCTCGGAGAAAGATCATTTAGTTAGGTGCGAACCTCAAAAAGTGGAGGGGAAAGCAGCAAGGCAGAGGGGAAAAAAGGAGCAGACCAGAAGCGTACACAGAGAAAATCGAATTACCCTGCAATTAGCCAGCCTCAAGACTACGTTAGCGTCCAAAATAATTTTCTTCTGGAAAGAAGAGGAAAAACACATAAATCAGAAAATATGTTTCGGGTCTTTTTTTGCAGCCATCTGAGATTCAGGAAGAGTTTGCCCCAATTTTCCTCTGGATAGGAGGCTTTTCTTCTGATATATCTAAATGAAACAGAAGAGAGAACCCAAAGCCAACTGGAGATAACAGAGTATTGTTATGGAGCATTTCTCCCCCTCCACTCCAGCCTGCTCAATTTAGGAATATCTTTTGTCTTCTTTATCCCGGCTGTTTGGCTGTCTTATTGCTACTTACTTAGTTCACAGTTGGGAGCAGCCTCGCTCTTAGCCTGCTTCTTCCCCATGGTGCCAAACTGGTTTGCTCTCTCCTGAGTGTGTTCCTGCCCCTATATAAGACCTGAGCCAACTCCTTTGATAAGATAAAAGCACTTCAAATTCTAGCCCTAGGCAGAAAAATGTTAGTAGTGAATTTATTCAAAAGCCGACCCACACCCTCCTTGGCTCCCAAGGACAATTAAATTTCATCTTTGACCTGTTATAGAAAAGTAGATAGATATCATATACCTGTCATCTCTAGATATTAATGGGCTATTAATTAGGTAGAGAAATCTTTATTCTAAAGTCATCTTTTGTACCATTTGGTCAGAGTTGAAATGGGACGTGTACAGAAGTGCGTGATGGGGAGTGGGGCAGGAGATAAGTGTTGCTTTCCTTCTGAATCAACATCATCACCATCATCACTGCAGTGGATTAGAAACAAACCTGCCATTAGGTGCACTGAAGTGTGGCGAGTCTGTCATTCGTATCAGGGATTTCTGTTAGACCTCTGTTCCCGGAGAAGGTTGGTTGGGGACAATTAACCTCGGGTACTGTGCTTGCATTTTCCATTAGATGCGTGGAGTATTGATAAAATTATGATGTACCCATGCCTCTGGATCTGAAGGACCTACAGGAATCAATCTAGTCAGTCTCTCTGGCCATGTAAAACTTAGAGCTCCGATTTTTAGAAATGAGAATGCAGAAAGAGTACATGGACAGGAGGCTGCCATTCCCCTGGCCAACCCAGTTTTTATTTTTTCCCTGTTTCAAGAAAAGTGGAATATACATTTTAAAATTTAATTTAATATTTTAATTTCCCCCAATTACATGTAAAAACAATTTTAACATCCTTTTTTTCAAATTTTGAGTTCCAAATTTTCACACATCCCCACCCTGCCCCATTGAGAAGGCAAGCAATATGATACAGGTTATACATGTGTAGTGATGTAAAGCACACTTCTTTGTAAGTCATGCTGCGAAAGAAAACACAGATCCCCAAAAAAAACCCAAGAAAAATAAAGTAATGAAAACATGTGCTTCAGTCTACATTCAGACTCTACAAGTTCTTTCTCTGGAAATGGACAGCACCTTTCATCATAAGTCAGAAGATAAAATTTGCTTTGAATGGGCCTGAGGAAAGCAACTTAGCTAGTCAAAAGCCTGGCCCTGGCCCCTTTCTTAGTTAGTCAGCCAATATTGATTGAAAACTTCAAGAGCAGGGGTGGGGAACCTGTGGCCTTGAGGCCACATGTGGCCCTCTAGGACCTCAAGTGAGGCCCTTTGACTGAATCCAAACTTCACAGAACACAGTTTGGATTCAGTCTAATGGCCACACTTGAGGACCCAGAGGGCCACATATGGATTCAGTCTAGGGGCCACACTTGAGGACCTAGAGGGCCACATGTGGATTCAGTCAAAGAGCCACACTTGAGGGCCTAGAGGGCCACGTGGATTCCGTCTAAGGGCCACACTTGAGGGCCTAGAAGGCCACATGTAGATTCCATCTAAGGGCCACACTTGAAGGCCTAGAGGGCCACATGTAGATTCAGTCAAAAGAGCCACACTTGAGGGCCTAGAGGGCCACAGGTGGATTCCGTCAAAGAGCCATACTTGAGGACCCAGAGGGCCACATGTGGCCTGGAGGCCGCAGGTTCCCTACCCTTGCTCTAGAGCCTGCTCTAGAGGGCCACTGGACACTAGAGGGTCACTGGCCACTAGAAGGAGACCCAAAGCACGGAGAAAGAAGATCCAGTGTCCCTGGAAATTCCTCCAGGAGATAAGAAACATAGGAAAGCCACACATGATAAAAATCCCAAGATCACAGATACAGAGTTGGAAAAGAGAACTAGGAGGTCATCTGTTCAAACTCCCCATTTTACAGATTAGGAAACTGGTGCCCAACTGACTTGCCTAAGGTCACACAGATCAGCACTCTACAAATATTGTCTCATTTGAACCTCATGACAATCCTTCAAGGATTTTACAGTTGAGGAAACTGAGGCAAATGAAGGTTAAGTGAATTTCCCTGTTAGCATTTGAACTAAGGTCTTCTTAACTGCAGGACCAGCACTCTATCTACTATGCCATCTAGCTGCCTTCAAGTATTGCACCCAACAAACAGTCTCAATAAATTATAAATTAGTGATCAAACAGGTTATGCTAATCAGAAAGAGCTATTATTGTTCCCAGACAGGTTTGCCATAGGGTTATTAGAAGGGCCCAAGAAACTCCTTTCCAAGGCCCCCAGACTGAGTAGCACTCTCTAAATCATTAAACTCAAAGACCTACTCATTTCAACCACCCAGGTGGTCTTGCTCTGAATCCTTGTGGAACCCTGCCCAAACCAAACAGGGAATGTTGTTCCCTTTATAGATATGTATGTGATGTCATTTGTGGAATGAGGACTCAAGGAGGAAAGGAACCATCTAAAGTTTAGCAATAATGGAATATCTATGTCACACCCACTGCTCCCTTCTCTTTCCAGTCTTTACCGTCTTCATAAGGGACACCTACATCCATCCTTTTTTCCTCTCCCTGGTCTCACTATTTCACAACTTACAAGAACAATTCCCTTCATTATTCTGGTTACCTCCCTTTTTTTCAAACCTGGCTCAAAGTTTGTTTCTACAGAGTCTTCTCTGGTTAAGAAATCCACATCATCACTACCACTGCTTCCCCCTTCCCCCACTGGCCACTTAACTTTTCTCTGAATATAAGCCAATATGTTAGTACCGACATAGGTGTTCCATGAAATTTGAATCTGTGTTTTCTTCATCTACATTTCTATCAAAGATAATATCTGGGATTCTAGTGAAGGATAATTAGCAAATTCATTATTTTAAAACTGAAACAACTATTCTTAGAGCTATTTGACTAAGACATCAAAAGATTTCTAAAAACATTTATATATAGATTTAAATATTCTATGGTGTCTACCCCAGAATAAGCTCGTGCTTATTGGCCTAGTGCAAATATGATTTTACCTGTTTAACATATGAGGTAGGTAAGCCTCAGAGATTGTGTAATTGGCTTCAGTCACACAACTAGTAAATCAGTCAGGATTCAAGTCCACATCTTAGGATTCATGTCTAATGCTCTCTTGACAACTGACTAATTTCTGCCTTGTGCTTTCATTAATACCTCTAGTAAGCATTAGTGAATGAGTTTTTTATGTTCCAGTAAATGAAGGAAAAAAACATTTATTAAGCTCTGTGTGTCAAGCACCGAACAGGAGATACTAGTATGAAAACAAAACAGTCCTTGTCTTTAAAGAATTTAATTCTAAGAGTGGGAGAAGATGCACATGAATAAACAAATGAAAAAGCATTGATTAAATGCTTACTGAGTGAAAAAGACTGTGTTAAAAGCACTGAAGATACAAAAAAAAAAAAGAGCAAAGCAGTCTTTGCTCTCAAGGACCTTACTTTTTTTTTTTTAGGCAATTGGGGTTAAGTGATTTGCCCAGGGTCACACAGCTAGTAAGTGTCAAGTGTTTGGTCTGAGGCTGGATTTGAACTCAGGTCCTCCTGACTTCAGGGCCAATGTGCCACCTAGCTGCCCCCAAGGACCTTACATTCTTTTTTTTTTTTTTGCTGTTTAGGCAATTGGGGTTAAGTGACTTGCCCAGGGTCACACAGCTAGTAAGTGTCAAGTGTTTGGTCTGAGGCCGGATTTGAACTCAGGTCCTCCTGACTTCAGGGCTAGGTGCACCACCTAGCTGTCCCTAGGACCTTACATTCTAATAGGAAAGCTGACATATATAGGAAGCCCCAGCTGCAAACCACATGGAAAAGTCCTATGGTCCTCAGGGCAAGAACTGGCAAAGCAGAAGCTAACAAATCTTCTTTAATGTCATTTTCTGACATTAAAACAAATTTGACCATGCCAGAGGTTTTCGGTCATGAGAACTTTCTTTCTGGGTCTTACGTAGCTGGGGCTGTTAAACCTGCAAAGGAAGTGGCCAGGGTTGTATTTACATAAGGGCTGATTAGACTACAGCCATAGAGACTATGGAGATCTGGAAGGTGATGCTGTTCCCGTCATCCTTGCACTGATCTGCCTGTTGATCAAGTCAGGGACTACTGGTGGAAGTGGAGGATGGTGACAAGGAAGGGATTTTGGTTCCCTAACTTTGGATTTCCCATAACTAACTTGTCTATGCTGACAGTTTAATGAGTTCATTAAATTTAAATTAATTCTTAGTGGAGTCTAAGGATCCCAAAAATCATAGATCATGGGAAGCCTTATGGGACTTTATGGTTTGCCACCATGGGTGCAGCATCCAGGAGATACTAGAAATATCTGGAGATAGTGGTTTGAAAAGTGAAGATCTCAGGAGGACCCGAGTTCAAATCCAAGCTCAGACACTTGACACTCACTAGCTGTATGACCCTTAACAAGTCACTTACCCCCCACCCCATTGCCTCAACAAAAAAAAAAAGAAAAAAGAAAGAAAGAAAAGAAAAGTAAAAGTCCCTGAAAGAATGCTCTTAAAAGCTAGATTTTCTTCCCTTCCCTATTAGCACCAATCAATCATCAGCTTTAACCCAGTGCCCACTAGAGTTCTCTCTGGGTTCCTCTTATGAGTTACTATTGTGTTCACAAGAGTTACAGTTCATTCACTTATTCATCCATTCATTCATCCTACAAATAGTTATTAAAATACTTTAAGGCATCTGGTATAACTAATAAATAATTGACTTTACACTAATCAATAAGCATTTAAGTGACTATTATGTGCCAGGAGCCAAGGGCACAAAGACAAAAACAAAACAGCCCTTGCCTTCTAGCAGCTTACATTTTTAAAAATTTATGTAACTTTATTATATATTTAAAAGAAATAGCAAGTTGTATATAATAGATTTGCAGTTTCATGTATAATCATCTTTTTATCACACTATCTTATGGAAATGCTTGTTTTATTCCACAAATTAAAAATAAAATAAATAAATGTAGGGAAAAAAAAAGAACCTACCTGCCCTTACAGCTAGATAGCTCTGCCCGCTGTCCTGCACCTCATTGGAACCTAAGAAACGAAGCCCAGAACGGACACCTGGAA